TATTCTATTCTATATGGTAATGCTGTAGGCTGTGTGATGATGCTGTGGTGAGACCTGCTGAACGTTTTTTAGAAAGACGGTAGAATCTCCCCTGTTAACTGGATGAAGATGCTGGGGCCTGATAGATCTTCCTCTGCAGTTTGGGTTCTATCAACGATTTGATAAACATTACTGGAATAAATGCTGTTACTACTTAACCATGTTTCCTCCTTTGTGTACGCTATCTGAGAAATAATACCTCCATCGGATTTGGAGCGGGTAAAAATGGATCTACAACAACAGATCGTACCGTTTCTGTCCCCTCCCAGAAGCCCAAAGTCGGTGCCGGTGTCGGTCTGTGGCGGCGCCGTTCCTTCAGGGGCCGAAGAGCCGAGGACTCCGTAGCCGCTGGACTGAACGTCTCTGTCCTTCTCTGCTCTCCACACATCTTTCTCCTTCCAGAAATAATATTCAGACAGAAGAAACATAAAAAATGTATTTGATATTTAACCCGTATCAATTTTAAAAGGAATTTCAAATTAGTGTTAGTCAAAATCTTTTAACAAAAATGTAAACAGTCAAATACCGTATTTTCCAGACTATAGAGCGCACCTTACTTAAAGCCGCTGATATCTACTGAACTGTCTTCCACCAAACCTGTAGGGGGAGCTCTACATATATCCCCTGGAGTAGGGAGGAAGAATGCTAGTTCCTGTTAGCTTGTTAGCTCGCAGCAGTAAGATCTTCTCCTGAAAGATGGAGCTTCATCAGCTCTTTATTTCAGCTCTGCAGGAGTTGAGCTCAGTCTCTTCATTGGTTCAGCAGCTTTAATGCGGCAAATAAATGTCAAAATGTCTGAAATCAGGACATTTGTTCTCCTTCCTGCTGCTAGCATGTTATTGTGCTAAATGAAAATTAGCCACTTATTCTTTCTTTTCCAACTTTGACTTCCACCTCGGATGTTTAGGACAAATCTACAGAAAAGCTGCACCTTCTTATAACCCGCATGGTTCAAAGCTTGGGGAAAAAGTAGCGGCTTATAGTCCAGAACGGCTGGTTCCGGTGTGGAGGTTTTAGTCATAGTTTTACTCCTATGAACTGTTTTTAATGCAGATCTATTTAGATTTTAGTCAGCAAGTATCTGTCTTTGACTGAAATATGAAAAAGATAGTTTTTACCCACATTTAACACTTTCAGTAACAGAGATTGGACCCGTTACCAGGCGCTCTGGATGCTCAGAGGCGTCACTAACCTCCCGGGACACCGTCCCCCGCTACATGCTGCATGTAAACCAGACGCTTTGATGCCCAGAATGCACCTGGTGTAGACGCAGCATTAGGCTGATGTCAAAATAATCAGTACCGGTATTGGCCTTAATAAGAAACCAAATCGGTCAGTCTCTACAGGACTGGATTGGTTCTGTGGGATTGCTGTGGTCCAGTCAAGGCAGTCAAGTTGATTTACTGTTCTCTAGTAAATGGTTTGTGTGATGCAGAGTCTGGCACACATGTGAGGACAACATAATCCAAGCCTGGTTAACTAAGCCTGACTTCCAGACTAAAGGACAATTTCATGAAACATCCCTCAGAACTCACAGCTTGTTCTGCTCTCAGTGGAGGTGTTTGC